TCCTTGGTTACCGAACGACGCCAGGGGCGCCAGGCTAGCTCTAGACCTCAGCAGGGCGACCCACGCCTCATCTGTTTGTAGCCCAAAGACTGCGAACAACTGAGGGGACCCAGGGGCCCTCCTGCCTCCCTACCGGTAGTTTCAGAGGCATGATGGACACCCCAAAATTTCCTATGTCTTGCAACTGAGGGAGGATTGCAACCTAGAGGCGCTGAGCCACCTGGACTAGCGGCAACTCACAGACCACTGCAGAATTTGAAGGTCGCTACTGGGAAGGGTGACTTGCACCTGTAATCCCAGCAATCGGGAGGCTGAGGCGGGAGGATCACTGGAAACCAGCCTGGGCTACTTAGTGAATTCAAGCCTAGCCTGAACTACAGAGTGAGAACCTGTTTCAAATAATAATAATAATAATGATAATAATAATTAATAATTGTGTGAAAGCCTTGGCTCAGTGTGAGTACACACACGTACACACGCATGAAAAGTCTTCATTGGTAGAATATAATATAGTAACCATCTAACAAGTAAAGCGTATAAAACTTATTTGTCAGAAAATTTCCTGGAAGCTTTATGGGATCAAAGCAGTAATGTTACCAAAAGAACAAGAGGAGTGCTGCACCTTGGGAAGAGAAGTAGTGTGTGGGCCAGAGGCTGGGGCTCTACTCTGTACCACCAAAGTATGCTGTCCTGAGTTCTGTGAGCTCCACAAGCAGGAGCCTCACAGTGGACAGGAAGGCCTAGAGAAGTGCCAGCGGACTCGCACTCCTGAGAGAGAGCACCTGAGCCAGGCACAGTTGCCCATAGTTGTAATCACAGTTTTGGGGGCTGAGGCAGGAAGATTGAAAGTTCAAGGCCAGTCTGGGCAATGTAGCAAGACACCCTCAAAAAACAAATTTAAAAAGAGCACTTAGGGCGATATAACACTAACTCCAGTATCTGAAAGACCGGAGGTGCATTTCTGTAACTCCTGACCACATCCACTGACTCCAAGGCCCATGGCTCCTTGGGTGGGTCCCACTGACTCAGTGTGAGGTAAGAAGGGCTGTGTAGTCAGACTCGTCCTGATTGTATATCTGCAAACACACAGAAGCAGAATCCTCTAGCAGTTTCAATTTGGGTGGGCAATTAAGATCTTTTAAACTCTAAGATTTTGTACTTTGAGATATTATTTAGTTTAGTTACACATAATAGAGTGAAAAATATTACCTAATAAGGCAGAAATGTCAGTGACGGTCCTCTGTGTCCAGGCATGAGGAGGTGAGGGGTTTTGTTTTGGTTTTTGGATCTAAGGTCTCACTGTGCAGTTCAGACTGGCCTTAAACTTGCAAAAGTCCTCCCGAGTGCTGAGATTAAGGCGTGCATCTCCACACCCAGCGCCAGGAGTTTGAAACCAGCCTGGGCTACATAGTGAGACCCTGTCTAAGCAAGAACAACAAACAAAGAAGTCAGTGGTGCCATTGTGGCTGTTGTGCCCTTGCAACGTACCTCCTGAATGTATGGTTACAGGTCACTGCACAGGCAGGCAGTGGGGACATGGTCCAAGCGGCTCTGGCTCCTGTGTACTGGCATCTAGGTGGGACAGGTGGCGCCTGCCAACTCTGAGGCCAGCGCCTCCCTGACAGGACCTGTGACCTGGTGCTGTCCACTTCTGCCCCACACCACCACACCTGGCATTACCTGGCTTTCTACTTTTGGGGACCAACTGGTAAGCTTTACCTTCTCAAGGCAACCTGCAACCCACACTGCTTCTTTCGACAAACCAATCTGCTCTTCTCACCCTGTCGCCACAGTGTGTGCCTGTGTTTAACACATCGAAGTCTGGGGCCAGAAATGTTCTACACCTGCCTGTGCTTTCCTCAGCCTAGGGCCCTTTCCCATGTCAGTGGAGTCCTCAACCCTGACTGCATATAAGAGTCACTTGAGGAGCTTTATAAAAATAGCGATGCCCAAGCTCTCGCCCTCCCTGTGTTCTGATTGCAGAGCTCGGTCTAGGCCCAGGCAGTGGTAGTTTTAAAAAGCCCCCAGGTGGTTCTAACCAGGTTTGCTGAGTGCCACTTGCTGATCTGGGGTTTGACCCCTTCCTTCCCCACAATATTCCCCTCTATTCTCCAAGGACAGCCGACCAAACGCCAGGTTGGCTGGAAGCAGAGGCTCGGTAACCGACAGAAACCTCTCACCTGGAGGGCCTGAGGAGGTCGGAAGGGCCCGAGTGTTTCAGCTGTCAGCAGTGATACTGCTTTCGCTGGGGGCTGAAGAGTGTTTCCCCTTCTCCTGACTTCTTGTCCTTGTAAAAGAGTGGAACCGGTTCTTGGCTTTACAGTTGGCTGGCACCTACTCTGGCCAAGTGGAAGGAGACCGTATTCATTGCTCCCTGTGCCGTAGGCCGGGTCCTCTTCCCCATGGAGCAGCTCTGTGGGCAAGGCGGTGGGAGGGCTGAGGCTACAGGAAAGAGGAGCCTGGCAGAGGGGAGGACTCTTCCCAGGCCTGATGGTGTCAGGGGAGTGGATCGAAGACGGCTTCCAGACGCTGAGAAGGCAGCGTTGGTGAGCCCTGGTGATGGAGTGCACCGGCCGGGGATGGCGGCAGAGAGACTGGATGAACTGGGGCCTCAAGGCGACAGCGCAATAGGAGAACAGCAGGCACGCGGTGGGGGGGCACAACCGTGCTTCCCGGCGCTGGGGAGGGCGAGGCTACCGGGGCAGAAGCTGGAGAAACAGACCCGGCCTGCAAACAGAGGTGTCCAGGACACAAACGGCAGCGGAGCCCCATCCACCTGAAGGACAGTGCCGCCCGGGGCGAAGCGCAAGCTGTGGACACAACAGCAGGTGGAGGACGGAGTCCCACGAACCCTAAGATTTACAGGATGAGCAGAGGAGGAGGAGCCCACAAAGGAGCCCAAGAAGAGCCGGATCCAGACAGGGCTGGGTCTTGATGGGACTCTGGGATGCAGTGAAGGGAAGGAGAGAGAGAGAGCGGGATGAAGGCTGTGAATGTCCTCACAAAACACACAGCTGTCACCAGGCCTGGGCTACACCATGAGGTCAAGGCCAGCCTGGACTGCACAGCAAAGGCCTGTCTACAAGAGGAGACAGAGAAGAGGAAAAGAAAAAAAGAGAAGTGAAGAAAAGAGAAACCCTGTGGCTGCCAAGAAAAGTGAGAAGAAGTAGCAGAGTGGCTACAGGGAGAAGTTAAGGATCTAAACTGGGCGTAATGCCTGTAATCCTGGCATTATGGGAGGCTGAGGCAGGAGAATTGCAAGTTTGATCACAGCCGGAGCAATTTAGTGACTCAGCAAAACCTTGTCTCAAAATACAATTTTGTAAAGGTATGGGGATGTAGCTCAGTGTGAAGGACCTAGGTTCAATCCCAGTACCAAAAACAAAACAAAAAAAAAAAACAAAAAACAGCTATTCCTTGTTTGTTTGGAGGAAAGAGACTTTAGTTCAGAGGCAACTAAAGAAGCACGACGACTAAATCCAGTGAAGGATCCCCCACTGGACCTTGGATCACAGAACCATGCACCAACACCCCACCAAGAAAGTGGCTCTGAAGACGTTGGTGGATGGTCTGAGAGACTGTGCGTGGGCCGCACACTGGAGCACAGTGAGGTTCCCCGGGGTGCTGGTGGCGAGGCTGCGAGTCCGAGTGGCCTCGTCTTGGGAGAGACCAGGGGAAGTGTTGTAGGGAGCTCTCCAGGGCTTCAGGAGAGGAGGGCGTGCACGAGGGAGGGAGAAAGCGTGGGGCGGACAAAGGCAGATGTGGCAACGCGTTAGGAATTGTCGGGGCAGCCGGGGATGTAGCTCAGGGGCCCCACACCTGCCTGGAAAAGTGCAAGGTCCTGAGTTTGATCCCCACACACGCAAAAAAAAGAATTGGTGGAACAAAAATTTCTTTTTAAAATTGGTGAATCTAGGTAAGGGCTGTGGGAATTTCTTTTTTTCTTATTAGTACATATTCGCCATACATAACGGTCACGTTCATCACAGGGAGTCTGTTCCTGTGCATTGTATGTCTTAATTCTATTTTAAC